AAAAAAAAAAAAAATCGGAAACACATGTGTTAAGTATCATATTATCTCTTTGGTGTGAAAAACTGAAATTGTAAATAAGGACCAAAATGTACAATAGATATTGTGAAATATGAAGAAACTGTTCAAAAGAAAAGGGAATTAGGGAGGGAGGAGAGGGAAAGGAAGGAAGGAAAAGAAAAAATAAGAAAAGAGGGATAAAATGAAAATAGCTTTATGAATGGGGAGGGGAAGGAGGTTTGAAAGGAGAGGACAGAAATAGGGGGAAAATAGAGGAATCAGAATTAGCTTGTGGACAATCTAGACATTGGAATTATATTACTGAAGCTATTGCTCTTTAACACAGTCATTTTCAAGGGAAACATGAATATAATAAATCTGGAGTATGAGCATTAAGGGATTTTTAGTTCATTTGATTTATAAGTTAATTTATCAGTAAATATTTATCATAGTCATTAGAAATTTGTATACCAATAAAAAAAGAAGTGAGTCACCAAGCCCAGGCTTAAGACTTTTGGTCAAATAGTATGATTTTCTATTGGCTTTTCACATTTTGTTTTCCTCTGATTTTCCTTCCTTTTATTAAGAGTCTAAATACAACCTAAATAATTTCAAACAGCTTAACTCTAACCAATTAGGACTGCCTAATAAATTCTGCAAGTATTTTTGACTACTCCTGTATACTAGATATCATACTGGATTTTGGATAAAAGGCAGGATAATTGAAAAGAAAACGGGCCAGGCACGATGGCTACCATTACAGTCCCAGCTACTCAGGAGGCTGAAGCAGAAGGACTGTAAGTTCCAGGTAATTTGGCTACCCCTGCCTTGAAATAAAATAAAAAGGGCTGGAGATGTATCTTAGTGGTAGAACAGTACCTGGGTTCAATATCTACTACCACAAGAAACCCAACAAAAAACAGTACCCATCAGGTGTCCCAGTATAGAATTGAGAGACTCTGTGGACTTGCATTGGGCAGGGTGAGGGAGTACTTATTTCATTACCTTTAACTGAAATTCTGCACCTCCTTCCACTGTGAATGTAGGGAATACCATAGTATTAACTATACCTGTGACTTTGTCACCAAGAGAAGTCACAGAAATTGTCTTGTTACATTGGTGATATA